GCCCACCCTGCGAATTCTAGCGACGCACGCGGAGTTAGCCAACCGCCCCCCGCTGGGAGACAGTTTTGGACTCGACAATTGTGCGGCCCACTGTGAGGAAGGAGGGAGACTCCTGCGGCCCCTTCACTAGCCTCGGTCGCCCCAGCTGCCCTAACACATGAGACCATTAGCCTGAGAGAGACTCTCCCACTGGAAGGGACAGAAGCTGCGTCAATGATTCCCTTTAAAATCAGACCAGACGAAACACTTGGAAACACCCCCCCCCTCTCACTCCTGCATTGGCCTGTTGTGGGTAGGGTTGCCAGATACTTTCCCAAAAAATGCCGAACATGGTGGGAAAAATATTGATTGAGCAAAAAAAAAAAAAAAAAGTTGAGGGGGAAAAAAAAACCCCACATGCTCCCCCCTCTCGGAAAAATATTAATTGAGCAAAAAAAAAAAAGTTATTGAGGGGGAAAAAAAACCCCCTTGCCCCCCGCTCTCCTCCACCCCTGCCAGACGCGGCAGGGGAAGAATGTCCCAAGTGGCCTTCCGTCCGAGAAAAACAGAAAATACTGGATAGTTTGCATGTCTGGTATTTTCTGGGGGGGTTTTTTTGTTTGTTTTTGGTTTTTTGTTGTTGTTTTTTTTAAACCAGACAGAGGCCACAAACACCGGACTGTCCGGGCCAGTACCAGACTTTTGGCAACTTTAGTTGTGGAGCTGCTAGGGACTCTCTGAGGTAGCTCGGTCCTCATCCCAGGTGTAGACTTCCCCACGGGAGGCCCGTTTCTAGAGTCTCTGTCCTCACTCAGTGGCCTGATAACCCCATTTCTCTCCCGGGAATCCTGGACCACCCACCTCCCGTCTGGCAGACTAATGAGACAGGCAGTGCTGTCTAGTGGGCGGAGCATGGGGCTGGAGGAGACACGACGAGAACTAGGAGCTAAAGTTCCGGGATTCCACAACCGCTGCCTCCACTTCCATGCTGGGGGACTTTGGAGAAGTTGCTCCACAGCTCTGTGCCTCTCCTGGCTTTGAGATCCTCAGCTGAAAGAGGCCAAGTCCGGTGGTTAGGGTCTGCACAGGGGAGCCTGCGTCTTCACGCTCATTTTGTTTCCTACCCACAGGTACCAGGCTGTTCCCCCCCTCGGGCGGCCTGACACTCTCCTCCTGGTTCCTGGTGAGCAAGTTCTGTTCCGCCCGCGACGCCCACCCCCTGCGCTTCCTCACCGTGGTGCGCCACATGTCGCGGATGGAGCAGGAGTGTGGCTGCCTGGCCGTCAGCCTCTCCCCCGTGGACCGCTCCTTGGTCATCTCCACAGAGGAAGTGGAGTTCCAGCCGCTGGGTAAAGCTTTCTGGGGCGGCTGCAGTGGTGCGGGGAGACTAGTGATTTTTTTTAAGGGGGAAATCTCCCCTTTCCTTTCAAAACGGGATTCCAGCCTGGAAAGGGACAAGGAGGGGAAAGGTGTGGGACAAAGATCCCTCCCCCCCTTGGCGCGTGCCTTTGGATCTCTTTCTCTCTGGTTCTGCGTTGCCCCTGTCACTGCGGTGTCTGATGCCTGCATGCACCGAGGGGCTTCGGCAGCCAGATCCAAATCCCTGGACAGTCAGCGGGGAGAGACAGGCCCCTTAGACCCAACACGCCGGGCCGCTCCTTGGAGCGGGAGAGGGGGCAAGGAAGGGGATGTGCGCTGCGCCCATGGAGATAGGCGCCCACGTCTGGGCCTTTCCTTTCAAAACGGGATTCCAGCCTTCTCCGGAGCTAGGGACCTCAGGAGTTCTGTGCGAGAAGCCGGGAGGGCCGTGAAGGGAGAGGGGGAAGGATTTCCCTCATGGCGTCCAGCCCCAGGGTTGGGGCCCCCCCGGGACGTGGGACTCCCCTCGTTCAAGCCCCCTCCCTCTCACACACAGCTGAAGAGGAGAAGGGATTTGCACACCCCTGGGCCATGGGACACGGTGACATGGGGCCCTCAGCCATTCCGTTGTGGATACAAGTCAGAAGGGAGGTGGTCCTCTTCCTCCTCCTCCTCCTCCTCCTCCCCTTGATCTGGGGGGTGGCCTCGGAGCAGCCCCACCAGCCTGGTTCCCGTGCACTGGCTAGGCCGTTGAGTTCTTGCTTTGGGAATCCCTCGGGGGGGCTTGGGCAGGAGATAGGAGCCCAGGAGTTGAGCAGGGGAGGCGGCAGAGGCAGAACCAGGTGCAGAGCCCAACTGGAGGGGAGGGGATCTAGCAACAGGTGGCCCAGGGAGAAGTCCCCAGGGCGAGGGAGCTGCCGGTGCCTCTAGCCACTGTCAGCCCCACCCAGTTCTAGGCCAAGGCCACAGGGCATCCGATCCCGTGGGTGCACTGCTGGCTGGGATGTGTAATGTGGGCCAAATAGGCTTGGGGCTTGCCCCCAAAGTCAGCTCCCTGGTCCTCAGAATGGCCCAAAGCAGTCAGATTTCCAGGATGGCGTTCGGGGGTCGTTGCTACACAGCGCGGTCAGCAGCCCACGGAGCAAACACCAACACGCTTCCCCGGGCGTGAGCTGGAGCCACAGCCAGCTCACTCTGGCATAGAGACTGGGGTAAACCAACTCTCCGGGTTATCCTGGATCCTTGCAGGGTAGAGATGGTGATCTAGATTCTCGGCCGTGCTGAATTTGTGCTTCGTGTGGCAAAGACAAGGCACGATCAGGGGATCTGCATCTCCTTGATTCTCCAGGCAGATCCGTGCCAGCGTCAGAGTGGATTAGAGTGGACTGTATCCCAGACAGTCATGTATTAGGACAGTCTCTTTTCCCAAGAGCTCTACCCGGACTAGATTGAGGCTGGGTCAGAGGCCAGGCACATAAGATCTGTACCAGCTGGGAACTCCCTCACCAGTGGAAGGGAGGAGTTGCAGAGAGGTGCTGGAGTTCACCCAAGGATTAATACTGGTTCTATTTATTACTCCACTTCTCTTCTTTGCTCTTAGGAGAACCTCATTTCTTGCAATTAGTAGAACTTGGTGCTGCTTGGAGTGAAATTGATGGCGATTTCATTGCAAGTTAAACAGACAGATTGTGCATTAAGTGCTCTTCTAGTTTTCTTTTTAATTACATTTCTGATCCCTTTTCCCAACCCTCAAGAGAAACACCCAACACACGTGAAAGATCATTTTTACAATCTATTACATCGTGTACTATGCCGTGTGTCAACATCATTGTATTTTCCCAGGTGGGCTCTGCAAACCTGACATCAAAACCAGAGGCCATCTGGCTGTAGTTAAGCAATCATTTGGTTTGTCTGACTTAGAGCAGAACAGATAATTGTGGGAGTTTTTTTCAGTTTGGCCACTGAACAGAAAAACCAGTTCATTTTGAATAAAAATGGGTATATTTATTTTGCTGCCGTTTCTTGACGTAATGCAAAACAGGAAATGTTCTCCAGGTCGAATGAAACGTTTTGAACATTTATTTGATGACATGTTCGACATGAAACGTCTCAAGGTTTGCCACAGCAAACCGTTTAGATGTTTTTCAGAAAAATTATTCGCACTCGGATTGGTCTGAAACAATTTGCTGAACTCCAATCTTAATTCACCATTGACTTTGCACACCCCAAAACTGCATTTTTTTGGGCACATTTACTATCCTGCCAAAAAGATTTCACCCGTCTCCAGCCTCAGTACGAGTTAGTGGAAGTTTAGAAGTACAGGTCGAGCCCCTACAGAAGAGGCTATGTCAAACTGCGTGGCTATGTAATAGCTAGGTCTTATTGCTGCGTCTAGTCTCAGTATTGGATAATACCGATCCCATTATTGCTATACGCTGGCACCTGCACAAACATCTAATGTGAATCTTCCCCCCAAGAATTGGAGCTTTCTCCAACAAGAATGGTTTCTTAAGTATGTGAAATTACACCCCTTTTGCCATTTACATTCTGCTGTTCATGGAGACGACATAAATTAACGTGCTAAATTGTGCCAGGTGCCCAGAAGTCTTTGAGAAGAGTGCTGCTTATAAATTAATACCGGCTATTATTCTCACTGATAATGACGTGAGGGACATGCGCCGATTTGGAGAACAGAGCGAACACCTCCCAATCGCCTGGCTTCCCAAGCAAACAGCCAGCTGGCTCCTTTACTCTGGATTGTGAATGGCTAACCTCAGACGGTCCCTTGTCCATTCCTTCTCACCCAGGGGTCAGAGCTGTGCTTGGTATTTCAAATGTGACCCTGATTAATCCAGGGGGAAAGACTGGGAGTGTGGGATGTGCTGCAGCTGGGATTTTCGGTCTAATGGAGTTCGGTGACTCGCTCTCATTGAACTAGGTGCCTAATTCCTTTAGGCTTCTTTGAAAACACCAGCTTGCCTGTCTCTCTCATGCAGTTACCATGTACACAGGGTCTGAACTTGACTAGCCTCTGAGAGGTCCTTTTCATAGCACGTCCCTCAGTCTTGTTTAGAACTGGTGTCGTTTTACAGCAGCGAGGACGGTCAGAAACAGCCATTATCTTAGGAGCCGGCGGTATTTGGGAGCAGAATCTGAAGGGTTAGGAAAACCTGCAGTCCTGATACTAGAACTCCAGCAACCTAAGGCCTTTTTATCCCTCCTATCCCTGCTTTCCAGAAGCTCCCCAGGCCTATCCCTGGCCCTGCCGCTGGCTGACTTGGTGATCCTGAGCAAGGGGGAGAGGTAGATACGCTGGAGGGAAGGGATAGGGTGCAGAGTGACCTGGACAATTTGGAGGATTGAGCCAAAAGAAATCTGATGAGGTTCGACAAGGACAAGTGCAGAGTCCTGCCCTTGGGACGGAAGAATCCCTAGCACGGCTTCAAGCGGGAGACCGACTGGCTAGGCAGCAGTTTGGTGGAAAAGGAGCTGGGGATTACAGCGGATGAGAAGCTGGATATGAGTCAACAGGGGGCCCTTGTAGCATACGGGGTTGCATTAGGAGGAGCATTGCCAGCAGATCCAGAGAAGTGATTATTCCCCTTTATTTGGCTCTGGGGAGGCCACATCTGGAGTATTGTGTCCAGTTCTGGGCCCCCCACTACAAAAAGGATGTGGATGCACTGGAAAGGGTCCAGTGGAGGGCAGCCAAAATGCTGAGGGGGGCGCTGAAGCGCATGACCTACGAGGAGAGGCTGAGGGATTTGGGCTTATTTAGTCTGCAGAAGCGAAGCGTGAGGGGGGATTTGAGAGCAGCCTGCAACTGTCTGAAAAGAGGTTCCAAAGAGGCTGGAGAGAGGCTGTTCTCAGTGGGGGCAGATGACAGAACTAGGAGCAATGGTCTCCAGTTGCAGTGGGGGAGGTCTAGGTTGGATATTAGGAAAAATGATTTCCTTAGGGAGGGGGTGGAATCTCCGTCCCTAGAGGTTTTGAAGTCCCAGCTTGACAAAGCCCTGGCTGGGTTTATTGAGTTGGGATTGGTCCTGCTTTGGGCAGGGGGCTGGACTTGATGACTCTGGAGGTCTCTGTTACTTCTATTAAGTAACTTCACCTCTCTGTGCCTCAGTTTCCCAGTCAGGACATTAATATTCATTGCATGGCCATAATGCCCAGAGGCCCCCATCAGGACTGGGGCTGTATTTTGCAGGCCTTGTGCACACGCATGGTAAGAGCCACCTGCTGATTACAGGCTTGTTCTTCCCCTGCAGACGTCATGGAGCCTGAAGCGGAGGTCCCGAATCACTCCTCGGCCCCCAGTCATGTCGAGTTCAGCTGCAGCAAGCTGGTAGCCACCGGGCAGTGGCATCACCTCACGGTGACGGTCGCTAAGGAAGCGAAAAGGAACTGCCTGGTTTCGGCGTACATCAACGGAGAGATACTTGGCTCTGCTAAGGTAAAGTCTCTCTTCCTAGAGCCGGGCTTGACAGCTGCATTTCTTGGGCCGGTTTTCCCTGTTTTATTCGTCCCAGAGCGAGGGGACCCCAGAAAACCAGGCCATCCGTGTGTGTCAGAGCACCAGACGTCACACGACCCCACAGAGACTGAGGTTCCAATTCTCACTGCGGCCTTTAAAACATCTCACGTTGAGGCTGTGAAGGCCTTAGGCCTATATATTGGACTTTTGTCGACAAAACTATACCTGCGTCCACACTGCCTTTGAGTTATGTCGACATAACGTCGACAAAACTCAGCAGTTTTGTCGATGTATGTAAACCTCATTCTACTAGGAATAACGCCTTTTATCGACAGAGTTCTGTCGCCAGAAGGCGTTATTGCATCTACACTGTCCTTTGCGTCCACACTGTTATGTCGACAAAGTAGCTTGCTTTGTCAACAGAACTGGATGTAGTCCAGACGCTCTTTGTCGACAGAAGCTTTGTCGACAGTATCCGTTGACAAAACTGCTGTCGACAAAACCCTGTAGTCTAGCCATACCCTTAGAGACTAGCAGATTTATTCGGGCATAAGCTTTTGTGGATAAAACCCACTTCATCAGATGAATTGGAGTGGAGTTTAGAGGCATGAGTAGATAGATAAGCACAACAAAAGCAAGAGGATAACTCATATAACAATGAGGGAGGGTCAGAAGAAGGCAAATAAAAACCACCTCTTTATTTTTTTTTTTATTATTATTATTATTATTTTAACTTTCTAGATTTTTAAGCCAGTCTCAAGGAATGTGTCTAGACTACAGGCTTTTGTAGACAAAACTATACCTGCGTCTACACTATCGCCGAGTTCTGTCGACAGAACATCGACAGAACTCGGCAGTGGTTGGCCATACAGAATCAATCATCGAGTTTAAGGAAGTCCCTTCCCTTTTCTGCTGTCATTCATTTATAGCAACCTTGGTGTCTTCCTTCCGACTCCTCGAGTCGGACAGACGCAAAGCTTGCATGTACGCTATGCTTTCCCCGTGAAGGCAACCTGCTTCATTCTAAATATTCTTTCTCATAATTGAGAAAAATTACATCTCCACAGCGCCTTGTGGGACCCATATCCATTCTGAGAATGAAAACTTCATTTAATTTGCCTTCTTTTACGCGAGACTGGAAGTCATCGATAAAACCAGGCTCGAGCATTGCAGCCATTTGAAGGATTCACAGCAAATGTGTTTATCATAAATCAAATAACTGGAAATAAAAACCAAAGGAGGCATTAGTAAATAAGAGATGGTCTCCGAGTCCGTGAAGAACAACTCAGGTGACAAATCAGAATTACACAAGGGTTAATATCTAGGACCAGGATTTTAGGATCATGGGAACTGAAGATAGGATCAGACCTCTGAGCAGTGTCTCCTCTAATCTTTGCTATCTGTGTGTGGAATAAATTTTGTTACACACACCAAATCATGTGCAGATGTGCACCACCAGTAAAACACATCCTGCCAACTGCACTCTGCTAATCAGTTGGGCGACACTTGAATCTCTCCTGGGTGGTCGCCAAAGCGTTCAGCTTGCCAGGAACACTGTCTCTGAGAGCCATCTGATCCAGTCTCCTACAATCCCCAGCACCAAATACTCCCTAGGAAAGTGATAGAAGTGTAGCCGTGTTAGTCTGGTGTAGCTGAAACAAAATACAGGACTATGTAAGGGCCAGGATCCTGTGGTTGCAGGTATGGGATTTTACTTGGTATCGCGTTCCGGGAAGGAGGGACCAGAGATGTATCCGGTGAACAGGTTACAAAAGCTTCATTTTACGTATGGGATTTTACTTGGTATCGCGTTCTGGGAAAGAGGGACCAGAGATGTATCCAGTGAACAAGTTGCAAAAGCTTCATTTTAAGTGCTGCAAAGAAGGGGCCAACTTGATCCCTGGTGGAAACCTGCTAAAGTTTAGTTACATCCTCTCGCAGCGAAACCACATGCTCCCTTGTGTTCATGCCAGTGCTTGTGTAACTAGGATTGGGCCCCAGGTGCAGCACCCCCGTGACTCCCCTTGGCTTGAGCAGGGAACAGGACAACCCGTGTCTTGCTGGGCAAAGGTCCCTATGGCTGCGCAGAGGCACAAGTGAATTCTCTCTCCGGTGCAGATGCAGTACATACAGCCCTTGCCCGGGAGCTGTGTTTCCATGGACCCCTCCTCCTTTGTCGACGTCTACGGCTACATCGCTACCCCCCGCCTCTGGAAACAGGAGTCCGCCTTGGCCTGGCGCCTCGGCCCCACGTACTTGTTTGAAGAGCCACTCTCCCTGCAAACCGTGGAGGTTATTAACAAGCTTGGGCCCCGGTACTTCAGCAACTTCCAGGCAGTGCGGCTTCCAGGTACGCGGGGACTTGAACATGCTGCCCCAGGGTTCATTGGTATCCGTTAGGAATGCGCCCGGAGTCCCGGGAGGCCTCCAGAAAGATGGGGCCTCACTGGGCTGGGGACGGGCCATCGGCCTTACCATCTACACAGGCAGGGCAGACGAAGAGTGTGAGGAATGAAGTATAATTATCCCCATTTCACAGGGCAAACTGAGGCACAGTGCTAGGCCTCCCCTAGGAGCTAGGCGAGAGGGGTGGGAGGTACAAAAGCACCGGAATGTCGATCGGCCTCTTCAGACACCTCAACACCTGTCAAATTCTGACAGGGGTTTTCAAACGTTTTTTCTCATGACCCGGTTGAAGAAAATTGTTGATGCCCACGACCTGACAGAATGTGACCGGAGTGTGGGCTCCGGGGTGGGGCTGAGGGGCACAGGAGGGGGATCCATCTTTG